ATATCTGGTTCAGTGGTCTCAAACTGTAATAAAGGAAGCTCGCAAATGTGATCAGTGCTTAAAGGTTCAAAACGCTCCATAACTTTGGTGCGGTCCCAATCTCGACCTTCATTGGCAAACAAGGAATTCATTGTAGAAGAATCTGAGTCATCAAGATGATGCGAAGGTCGAAATCCTTGAATAGAGGGAACCCACGGGCCATGGAACATTTGAACCTTTGACCTGGCCTAAATCAGGTCCATTGAAATCTACCTTAACAACAATAAAATCAGATTGTCTTTCCTCTTGTTTTGAAATTCTTTCCATTGCAGATCTAGAATTGAATTCTATCTCTCCTTCAAAATTCAAATGATTAGGACCTCTGAGGAATTGATGGCATATTATACATACTACTTAAATGGATATAAGAGCACAAATACAAATATATTCAGTGCAAAACCTCTTGTAAATAGTGTTTCTAAACCTTGCTTTTGTGTTTTACATATTTGTATTTGTACTCTTCTCAAATTGAGAGTAAATCCTGGTTAGGAACAAACCAAATAAAGACTCATTCACCGGTAATTGATTCTAGTCCCTCCAAACATTCCATTCTTTCCCAACATTATCTTTTAAATCATAATTAAATAAATATCAACATGACAAGAAATAATCTTTCTTCAAAATAAGCTGTAGTCAATCAGACAAAATTCTGACTGTAGACATCCTTAATCATCTAGATTTTGTATATAAGAAGGGAACCGTAGTTAGTCAAATTGAATATTTGATCTTAGATGGTTTTTAACTTTTTATTCCTTTGTTCTTTATTTTTATTCAAAGGGAATCATAATCAGCCCTTAGGAATTAGACTCTAGATAGTTTAATCCCAAACCTATCTTGATAGAGGGATCATAATCAACCAAGTAAAATCACCTGGTCGTCGATGGTTTCTTTCCCTCTATTTCCTTCCCTAAAATCAGCCCTCCAAACATTCCATTCTTTCCCAACATTATCTTTTAAATCGTAATTAAATAAATGTCAACATGACAAGAAATAACACTAATGAAATAATGAAACTCTTGATTTGCCAACAAAATAACTTTTTCTTTATTGTAATTCTTATTACATGCTTCTATTAGAAATTCTCAAAAGCAATTGAAAGCATGTTTACATCTTGACCTTACCATCTTTAATATGAAAAGAAAAGTAATAGAGCAGCAAGATCAAACTCTGTAGAAAGATGAAGCAGTATGAAGAACCTGAACATGTAGCCTTGCTGTTGTAATTTGGATGATTCAGGGAGCTCCTTGAGGGTCTAGGGTTTCTGCATATAAGAACCTTAAACCCTGTTTTTCATTCTCAAGTAAGTCAATATTTATAGAGTTCAAGCATTAACTAGCCTAGAAACCTCTATGCTTCCAAGTCTTAATGTAGTAAATTACTTAAGTAACTTTCTTTACTACTCTTAGAATGGAGTTTGTGTATATTTGGTGGATGTTTTCTACTTTTACTATTACTCAAAAAGGTTAGAATAAAATATTTATGAAGTTTGGATATCATTAGATATTATAATAATTGACATTTATTATATCAGGCTTTTGTGTTTCAACTAGAACTATTAAGATAGAGTTTGCATGTATCTCGTGGTCCTTTTGTTATTTTTTGCATTGTGTCAAAGATCATTACAAGGTGACAAGCTGGAGCATATGTGATAGCGGTTTTCTGTTTTCCAATTGGTAAGCATAATGGTTTATCTCTGTATTGTTTTTTCCCTAATATTTTAGGGTAAATTACACAGACCACCCCGCGGTATGGTTTGTAACAAAGATCCCTAACTGGTAAACCAAATGACAGAATGCATTAAATTACTAAAATATCCATTTTAAACATTTTGTATTTTCTTTTTATTGCCCTTCTCTCTTAGACTATGTTTGATTTGAAGGAAAAGGTAGAGAAAAGAAGGGAAACATAGGAAAACCTATACAAGGTTTGTAAAGGTTTTTCTACATTTCCCTTCCTTTCCCTACTTTTTTATTCAAACCAAATACAGCCTTAAATCCTAATCTGACCTAAATTCATGTGTTGCCTTCATTTTCTCGTTCCGCAAATCAACAAGCAAATCAAACACTAGATTTGCAGAGAATCTGGCTGGCTGATTCCATCAATCGTTTTCTCGTTCTACAATCTGCAAATTTGCATATCTACGGATTTATGACAAACAAAAAACTAAAAAAGAAAAAATGTTACTACAAACATGACCGTCGGAGATTCGACACTAACCAAAAGTGAAGACAAAAAAGGGAAAGATAAAAGAAAAAAGCAAGCAATTGAGTATATTGAGGTGGAATGAAAAATGAGAAAATGTACCTGAAAACGAAGGCGGAGACTGGAGAGGAGAGATTGCTTATTTCATTGAATAACGAAGAACGACCACATTTAAAGCTAAAGCAATGGAAGAATGAAAAACGCTGGAAGATGTTGGCAGCATGAAAGAACCCAGCCAAATGAGCGCCCCGAATATTGAAAATCGAGAGAGAGAGAGAGAGAGAGAGAATGGACTTTTCCATTTTTCTAGTTTTTGTTTGCTGGATGGAATGAACCAACGAGAAAATGAAGGTAACGTAGGTTTGCAAATTTGCAGAACAATTTACGATTTACGATTTGCAGATCTATAGAGTTGTAGGTTTGCTTATATGATTCACGATTTTTGAGAAGCCGTTGTTGGTTTGCTTCAATAACTTACAACGAAGATGATTGGCAGGTGGGAGCAATGAAATGGCTTCGAGGACAAAGGAGCAATACAAGAAGTCAACGAAGATGAGATTGGACTCGCCGTGACGGAGGAGGATGGAGATGGTCTGGGCATCCAGGCAGGTATTGATGGTGTTGAAGATGGCATCGACCATGGGGACGATGAAGTGGAGCTCGTACATGGCTAAGACATTCGAAACTATGATACGTCTCCTCTCTTGATGTTGAGCGAAGTAAGGGCTGTGTAAAACAAAGTATAAAAATGATAATCAATGTAAAATCGTTCGAATAATTATAAAATGGTAGTTTGGAGATAGATTTAAAATTCTTTTAATAGTGAAATGATAATCTTTTTCCACGATAACTGACGGAATGGAGGGGGGTCTTTGTAAAAGACCCATAATAAAGGGGTCCATATAATTTATCCAATATTATATATAAGAATTCATAAGACTACTATATAATGTAATTAAACACCAACAATATTCAAGGCTCTACCCATGACACTTTGCAGCCGCACATCACATACTTTGTATGCTATCATTGGTGTGGTCATAAGTGAGATGTGTGGTTGCAAATTGTTGTAAATAGTCTTATGGAAAATCCAGATTGTAGACATTCTTATAATTAATGTTTAAATAAATAACTCCTAAAATCTAATAAAACCTTAAAAAACAACTTTGTTCAATAATAATATTCTATCTGCTAACATTAATAATTGATTAATTTTTTTATATTGTCTACTATTAAATATTACAATATATTTATTTCATATTTATATGGTATATATGGTATTTCCTTATATAGTTACTTAATACACATGAAGTAAGCTTAACTAAAAACAAGTAAATTACACATATGCATGAATAAGTTCCTTAAGAAACATAATTAATTTACCTTGCCTTTCTAGAAAAGCATATTGTCCTTTATTTTCTTAAAGATTGATATCATAAAATAATAAAATAAATTGAAAGGATGACTACCCATTTATCTTGTATGCTTTATCATCAATGTTGATGAAAAGAATTTAGGAAGAGATAGAAAAGTATTTTGTATTTAGAAGACCCGTAATTTTGTGCCTTTATACCCACTTTTTCTCCTTAGTAAAGTTAGTGTTTATTGCTATTAATTTTATAGTATTTTACATGATCTAGGAATAATGATCTATAGTGGGCCCAACCCCTCTTTTAAATTTGAAAAAATAAAACATTCATTAAAAATGCTCATAATACAATCTAAGACAAAACTTGTGACAAGGAAACATAAAGAAAACTCGTAAGAGAGAAACTGCTCAACACTGGGAGATAAAACTCGTGAGTCCTTTACAAGCAACACAAAAGTCAAGATAAGGCCAAGAAAAGAAGATCAAAGGCCTCCAATAAAGATCTATACTACTTTAAAAAGCACAAATGGTCTCAAGAATATTTATGAAATTTTTTGAGGATAAAAAATTGGGGCAAATAGGATAATCGCTTATTGATATTAAATGAGTTGAAAAGAGGTAATTTTAAGATATTCAATGCATTCAATTCTCTCTCATTAAATCCAACATTTAAGTTACTAACTTGCATTCATGTTCATGAATCATATATTTAAGTCAATTTTGTTTCTTCTCAAGTCCTCATCATTGAGTTCTATTAATTAAATCCATACTTAATAAATTAATAATCCAAAACATAAAAGTTTATGTTTTTAAAATCTACCTAAAAAAATAGTGTTTTCATCTAGGTGGTGGTAAGAAATTAAACCATTTTGGGTCAAATGGGCCAATCCATGTTTCCACGATTAAATAATAAAATGAACAAAAATTAGAAATTAAAAAAATTGGAAACATTTTTAACATACATATTAAACAATAATAATATGATAAATAAGAAATATGAAGAAAATTTTCTCACATGCAATGCATGTGCTTAATTATGAATAATACTAAATAAGATGTTAGAATATGATAGACTTGTAACTGAGATGGTTATCTCTGATAGCTATCTTAGATAACTAATCACCTTATCTCATTCTCATGTAACTTCCTAGATAAACTCTAACTCTGTAATTGTTATCTTCTATACATAGTTGTCCTCTTGTAACTTCTCTATTTAAATGATTCAAGAGACCAGTCATTTCTAACTGGGTTGTTCCATTCTCATTTTTCCAGTATTGCTCTTATATGGTATCAAAGACATTTGACAAACGTCATGGCTTCATAAACAAGCACCACTACTCATGCCATTTAGAGACAAATGCAACCTGGATCGACAGATGGTTGAACCATTATGGTGGTCTCCCTTTCCAGTTTTATGAATGTAGTCTCAGTAAAACTGGATCGTACTAACTTCCTACTTTGGATCTCTCAAACTACACCAGCTCTCAAAGGGCATCGTTTATATGGCTATGTGGATGGATCTTTTCCTTGTCTTCCACTCTTCTTGGAAGATGGCAATAGCCAAGGATCCAACCGCAACAACCCAGATCATGCAGCATGGATCGAAGAAGACCAGTTGATCATAAGCTGGTTATTATCTTCATTAATAGAACCAATTCTGGCTCAAGTAGTTGGCTTTAAGACATCCAAAGAGGTATGGGATCGACTTCATGTTCTCTTTTCTTCTACTAGTAAAACTCGAATCGATGATTTGAAATTAGAATTAGCCTATCTGAAGAAGGGTACTCTCACTGTCACTGATTATGTTCAGAAAATTAAAAGTTTATCTGATGCTTTAGCTACTTCTAGACACTTTCTCATTGATGTAGATCAAATTCATTATCTTCTTGGTGGTTTACCTACTGAATATGATACCTTTGTGCTCTCTATGACTACTAGACTAGATAGTCTTTCTTTTTCTGAAATTCAAAGTCTATTACTTACCTTTGAAAAGCGCTTAAAGTGTCACTCTTCACAATTTGTGTTGGATTCTCCTTCTGCTAATTTGGCCAATGAGAAGAAAACCTTCAATCACAATCAGTCCTCTTCTTATAAGCCTCGACAATTTAATAACGATGGTGGTTCTGACAACTCCAAGAAAACTTCCTATAATAACAATAATCGCAGCAGATCCAATTCCAAGAATGCTACTGTGGTTTGCCAACTTTGTGAGTATCTTGGCCATACAGCAGCTACTTGCCGCCGTTATCTAGAACTCATTGCCAATAAGCCTACCAAGTAAGCTCATACAACCTCATCTTTATGATCTGCTCGTGATGAAAATTGGTATCCTGATTCAAGAGCAACCAATCATATGACTTCAGATCTTGGGAATCTTTCTCTTCACGATGAGTATCATGGAACAGATCATATCCTAGTCGACAATGGTACGGGTCTAGACATTTCTCATATTGGCTCCATTGTTTTGAATACTGATCTTGGGTCCACTGTCTTGAATAATATTCTCAGAGTTCCTAATATATCTAAGAACTTGCTCTCTATCAGCCAGTTTTGTAAGGATAATAATGCTACTTTTATTTTTTACGCTACTAGCTTCTCTGTTAAGGACAAAGCGACCAGGAAATTCTCCTCCAAGGGCCGATTAAGGGAGGGCTCTATCAACTGAAGACAAATTGCACATCTACATCGCCATTGGCATTCATTGGTGAGAAAGCATCGGTTTCAGTATGGCATCAACAGCTAGGACATCCCAGCAAGCGAGTAGCTGCCCACATCTTATCTTCATTTCAGCTTCCAGTTTCAAATAAGGACATCTCTTTTTGTCTATCCTGTCCACTTGGCAAGAGTCATACCTTGTCGTTTTCTAGTAGTACTTTTGCTGCAAAGTATCCATTAGAACTTTTATTTTCTGATGTTTGTGGACCAGCCCCTATCTCTACAAAACATGGTTTTCGCTATTATTTGATTTTTGTTGATGCTTACAGCAAGTATATATGGATTTTTCCTATGACCTATAAAACTTAGGTTGTCTCTATTTTTGTTGTTTTTAAGAAGAATGTGGAGAATTTACTGAACACCTCTATCAAAACTCTGCAAACAGATGGAGGTACAGAATACAAAACACTTCTCCCTATTCTCTCTGATTCAGGCATCACTCATTGTCTCTCATGTCCTCATATTCACGAACAAAATGGGGCTGTAGAATGACGCCATCGCCATATTATAGAAATGGGTCTCACCCTCCTGGCTATGGCTTCAATGCCTAAACATTACTGGTATGATGCCTTTGAGACTGTAGTTTTTTTAATTAACCGACTCTCTTCTCCAATATTGGACATGAATTCTCCTTTAGAGTGTCTATTTGGCACTAAACCTGCTTACACTATGTTGCACACTTTCGGATGTGCTTGCTATCCGCATCTCAGACCCAATAACCGTTCTAAGTTGGACTGTCGTTCCAAATGTTGTTTATTTTGGGGTTACATTTTACATCACAAAGGGTACAAATGCTTGGACTTAACATCTGGGCATCTATATATTTCCCGTAATGTGGTTTTTTATGAACATACCTTCCCATGCACTTCTGGCAGCCCAACTACATTTCCCAAAACGGCTACCGACACTATGATTGGCCCTCCTATCGTCACATATCCGTGTCCTTCTCCTCAGACCATTCCCATACCCATTGGCACCACCTCCCCTAGCCCACCTATTATCTCTACTGGTGTTAGTTCTGCTGACTTGATTCCATCATCATCAACCCCATCAGATACACCCTCTTGCTCCACTACGACCCCACTTAATGCTTACCCCATGATGACACAGAGCAAGAGTGGCATTCACAAGCCAAACCCTTGGTATGCTTTGGAAGCCTCTGTTGACCCCGATGTTGAACCTCTTGCTACACTATTGCCAAGAAAGATCCCCGTTGGGTACTCGCCATGGAAGATGAGTACAAATCACTGTTGCGCAATGATACCTGGGATCTTGTACCTTCACCTCCTCATAAGAACATTGTGGGAAGTAGATGGGTTTATAAGATTAAGAGACGTCTGGATGGGTCCATTGAAAGATACAATGTGTGATTGGTAGCGCAAGGTTTTACTTAACAAGCCGACATTGACTTTGCTGAGACTTTTAGCCCGGTGGTTAAACCAACCACTATCCGGTTAATAATATCTCTCACAGTTCACTATGGCTGGAATCTTAAACAACTTGATGTGAGCAATGCCTTCCTTCATGGCTACCTCAGTGAAGAAGTTTTTATGAAACAGCCCATGGGTTTCATTAATCCAACACGGCCACATTTTGTATGTCGTCTTAAACGTTCCCTTTATGGTTTGAAACAAGCCCCGCGGGCCTGGTTTACTCGATTAAGGGATCATTTGGTTCACCTTGGTTTTCTAAAATCCCGAGCAGATAGTTCTTTATTCATGCGGTGGACTGGCACTGATGTCATATTTCTTCTTGTATATGTGGATAACTTATTGATCACTGGATCTTCTACTTCTGCACTTACTCAACTCATCTCTCAGCTCTCTACCACTTTTTCTCTTCGAGATCTTGGGGAAGCTCATTACTTCTTGGGTTTGAACTGCATCACAGTTCAGATGGGGTGCACCTATCCCAACATAAATATATTCATGATCTTCTCATCAAGACCAAGATGCATGAGGCTAAACCGGTTCATACACCAGTGGTAGCATCTACTAGACTTGATGTGAGCAATGGTTCTCTTCTTCCAGATGCCACTGAATATCGTAGTGTGGTAGGGGCACTAAAATATATTACCCTTACTAGACCAAGCACCAACTTCTCTGTTAACAAAGTTTGCTAGTTTATGAAAGAACCCACTGATGTTCATTGGAGTGTAGTAAAGAGGATCCTCCGTTATCTTAAGTCCACAATTGATCATGCCATTACTTTTTGTACTTCTCCAGAATTGGCTCTCGAAGCCTTTTTTTATGCTGACTGGGCTAGTTGCCCTGTTGATCGTCGCTCCCAAGGGGGTTTTTGTGTTTACCTGGGCTGTAATCTGATTTCATGGAGCTCTTGTAAACAGTCCACGATTTCTCGCTCCAGCGCAGAATCAAAATATCGTAGTCTTGCCTCTACTGCCACTAAAATTCTTTGGCTCCAGATGTTACTCACGGAGCTTGGATTGAAGCTCCCCCGCCCACCTGTCATCTGGTGCGACAATTTGAGTGCCAAGTTTCTCTCCTCCAATCCTGTCCACCATTCTCGCACCAAGCACATAGAATTGGATGTTCACTTTATACGGGAAAAAGTTGTGGCCAGCCTTCTACTGATCAATTACATTCCCAACCATGATCAGATTGCAGACATTCTTACCAAACTGTTGCCATCAATAAGGTTTCATGACCTTACAACCAAGCTTACCATCTCCAAGAGACCACTAAGCTTGCGGGGGGATGTTAGAGTATGATAGACTTGTAACTGGGATGGTTATCTCTGATAGCTATCCTAGATAACTGATCATGGTTATCTAGGATAGCTATCCTAGATAACTAATCACCTTATCTCATTATCATGTAATTTCCTAGATAAACTCTAACTCTGTAATTGCTATCTTCTGTACATAGTTATCCTCTTGTAACTTCTCTATTTAAATGATTCAAGAGACCATTCATTCCATTATCATTGTTCCAATATTGCTCTTATATAAGAGAATCTCCCTGAACAACCAAACAAAATTAACCACCATAGCCATATCTACCCTTTTAAGGGATTATTTTTCTTATGATAAATTTTAAGGATAATTGAAGTGCCATTTAAGCTTTCGGAGATAAAATTTAAGATACAAAAAAAATCTATTTTTAGGGGTGGTGTTAACTTGTTAAGCCCCCTTACATGCCTTATTAAACCAACCTATACTCACTAATATCTCAAGTAAGTCTAGATATTTTAAGACTTGAAATGTTAAGAACTTAAACTACGCTAACATGCAAATTTAGCAATTAAACAAACGAAAGACAATGACCATTAAGAAACTAATTTATCTAGCACATAAAAATTAAAAACAAAGGACAAGTGATTACTAAAAAGCAATCAAACAATAGACAATGACAATAGAAATTAACTTTAGAGAGAAAATAATAATAATCTGAATATGGTAATTAAAATCTATATTTATATTTATATTGCTATAAGAAGTTTTGAATAAGCTATTAAGGTTTATGGAGTTTTTTCCTAATAAAAATTGTCCATACTTTTGGAGTTGTCCCCATTTAAAGAGGAAGGCAAATATGTCAATTTGATGGGTTGTAACATTTATTTTTAAAATATATTATTGATAAATGATGCCGTTAACTTTTAAGTTACCCTTAGGTGGGCAAAAATGTGAATTTCAACTAATAAGGCATTTATTTCTTAGTTACAAATATAGGTTTGACTCATTTGAGTGGAGAGTTTGACATGGGACCTAATACCAAGGGGTTTTGTCTTGTTAAGATTGCCTCTTTAATTGGCCCTGTACACTAAATGAATAGGATTAATAGGATGTATTAAGATAGTTGAGGTAGAATGATCTAGACACGTGTTTGAAGGCTGGTGAATGTTTTATATTATAGAGTGACAGGAAGCTATTGATTGACTGTATTATGAACCCCTTGGTTGGGTTGGCCAAAGGAGTAATGTACCTTGTTGTATTCTCATATGTGCAAACTTGTGGAATGTTAATCATAATACCTTTATAGGGTGAAAATGATAATTTTTCAATTTGAAGACACCTTTTGTTTCATAGTCTTTTATAAGTGAGATTCATGAACTTCTCTACTCTTTAGCAAGTGAAAACTGAATGGAGCTATTCAATTAGTGGCCATTGGATCTTCAATATGTAACAATCAAGGCCAATGCAAAATTATTCTAAATTGGGTTGGGATCTTCGGCTCTATTTGGTAGTATTTAGTGCTTTGTACTTTTAACAATACCAAAATACAAAGTATATGGTATACTTTTAATTTCGTATTTTTATTTTAAAAAACATTTGGATGTAAATTTTTTAAAACATGTTTTTCAAAATAGAAGTAAATGATAGTGTTTGAATACAACAAAATGTTTTATATGCGAGCATGTTATGTGGTATCATATATGAGTGCCACATGGTATCTGAATGAAAATCAATAATATGGGAATGCTATGTGGCATTTGAATATGGGTCGTTGTCATATATGCATGCCACATGGCATTCGAAGATAAGTCAATGATATTACATGCCATGTGCTAGCATGAATGATTGTCACATGACATGTAATTGTCATT